TATATATGTATATGTATATATATATATATACAGGAAACCTTTTTTTTAGGGAGATATTTGTGTAATTCAAGACATGAAATAAAATGTATAAATAATATTTATGCATTGTTGCATCCAACTTAATCAGTATGAGTCTTTATACCTGTCAATTTCTTCACAGGATGTTTTTTAATATTTCACTATTGTCTAGCCCATGAAATGACCTCTACTTCTGAGGATTAAACAAAATTACCTAACGGGCCAGATTAGTGCTTTGGTCCACTGGCTTTGTGACCTGATTAAATAAATGGAAGTCTTAATTAAAAAAACAAATAAACAAACCAAAAGCTTTTTTAAAAAACCTAACAACCTTCCAGGCACCTTAATTTAAAGTGGTGTACGTTATTTAGTTGATTTGAGGCTTTGAAGTAGATGTGAAACTCCATGCTGGGATTATGTGCCAATGCTGTATGTTAGTTCACTGTAAAGCATGCAATTCTAGGAAATAGCTAGGCCTTATTTGTAGACCTTAACTGATCCATATTCGTGAGTATACTTTTGAGAAAATATCTGCTGGTCGCTGTCTCATGTAGTCCACTATTAGCAACATGTTAGTGCTCAGTCTGAAGGAGGAGTTCTGATTAAACTAGAGGTTGAAGTCATCTCTTACAAAACCTTCAAAGTTAACTTAGAATTTAGTCCTTATTGTATGAGGATTTGCCGAGTTTTAGTCCATGTTTCAGGTGGTATGTGTGCTTTTGTCTGTGGATAATGGTGTAGAACACCTAACACACTACTATTCTCTCATCTTTCAGGACAACAGGAGAAGTAGCTTCTGGAGTTGTAAATAAAGTGTTCAATCAACCAAAAGCCAGAGCGAAAGAGCTAGGTTTGGATATATGTTTAATGTATATAGAAATTGAGAAAGGGGAGGCAGTACAAGAAGAATTACTAAAGGGTCTGGACAACAAAAACCCCAAAATCATAGTAGCATGCATAGAGACACTGAGGAAAGCACTAAGGTAAGCTTTTATGTTTTAGTTCATGGCTTATGGTGGGGGTTTGGTTGGTTTTGTTTTGGTTGGTTGGGGGAGGTGTTTCATTTATTGTTGTGGATTTTTTCCCCTCTTACTCCAGCAGTATGTAGAGTCTTATCTGTTACTTGAGTCTTTAGCAGGCCCTTGTCATTGTTCAATAGGGTGTATCTTTGCTGAACTTTTATTTTCTGATGAGAGCAGTAGAGACCATCATGAAATTTGGTAGAAATTTGGTCTTTGTTGTACAAGCTTGGTCAGGATCACTTTTGTTCATGGCACCTGTTTACCAAACTTGCATTTTCGCAATGGACCTCTGACAGAAGGGCAGGATTAGTGTGTCTTGTTCCAAACTGGACCTTCCCTTCTGAGTAGTCGAGAGAAACTCACTGATGGGAAACCTAAAATGTAGTCTTTTTTTTTAAAAAAAAAAAAAGGCACTGTTTTCCTCACTGATATGAGCAATTCAAATCCAATTTGATTAAGATGGGGTAGCTGGTTTCAAGATTAGGTTTGGAATATTTTTTTTTTAATTCCTGTTCAAGTATGTTTGCTGCCTTTGAGTTGAATGAAGAATACTGCGGTTATATCAAATTGTCGTACTTGGTGTATATGTACTTCAGTGTCCATTGAGGTTTTTTATTAGTTTTTTTTTAAAAAAGTAAATGAATAACTTTTGGTATTAATGGACAGAACACTTTTTTTAAGTGAACTTGCTGTGCCATATGTATAGCTGGTCCTCATTAAACTAAATGTTTCAGGCTTCTGTAGTAGAAGTCAAAATAAAGCACTGGGCTTAGCACATTATTTATGCTTCTATTAAGTGAAACTACTGTCTTGCATTTAAAAATATATTTTAGCTATTTTAGATTACCTTGTCTAGTTACACGTCCTTGTAACAGTACAGTATAATTAGAAATCTACATAACCTTCCTTCAGTGTCTTTCAGCTAACTATGCCTATAAAAAGTGCCACATCTGCCTATTTTTTTTATATGCGCAGTATTTTATTATATTTGAGATGGCAAGATGAAATTCTTTTATAGACCCCTATTGACTTAACCTTCGTTGTCTTCTGAGCTGTGTCATTACCTAAATTTGTCTTGTGCTGTGGCCGGGTTTCTGCACCGATAACTAAATTTGCCTATGCTGTACCTAGGTAGATAGCTTGGGTGCATAACTAATTTAGTTTAGTTTTTTTATCTTGTGCTAAGGTTTCTGTTCTTGTGTTGTTATATCAATTAGATAATATTATGTGAATTAGATAAGAATAAGAGAATTTACACAGGCATGTTAGAAAAATAAAAATCTTGGGCAGCTTACTTGTTCATATTCTGCATTTAAATTTTACTATTTCTAAGACCAGAGCCTGGATTGATGGAAAAGTTACTTCTGAATTCTCAAGATAAAAATGCTTCTGAATAAAAAAAAAAGGGGATTCACAGGTGTTTTAGTTATGATGCTTTAAGTACTGCAGCAGTTCGCTATGCATATGAAAAGAAAATTCTTGTGTTCTTGTTCAGCAGTTATTAAAAAAGGAAGTTTAGTGTATTAATTTCAACAGCATGTAGAATCTGCTGACAGGGAAGGGTGACTGGCTGTGTGCCTTTTGAGCAGCTCGTAGCTCAACACATGTATTTTCTGTGAAGATGACCCAGGCTCACTATAATTATCCAGTCCAACAAGTGGAAAAGTGACTAATGCTTTTACTGCAGCTTGTCTCCAAGGATAGACAAAGGAGATTCTATTCTGATTTTTTTAAAAAAAACAAGTAGGTCATACAAATTTTTGTCTAAGGGTGCTTTTTTCTTTTTCTCTGCTTTTCTTTTTTTCCCCCCTGGCAAGGGAACAGATTTAAGCAGCAGATTGGATTAAGTACTTTGAAGTAATTTCAGAGGCTTGATTTTTGTAATTCCAAGCTGGGTGTGGAGGGTAATTATGATAGGGCAAAAAATCTTTACATTTTACAGTAGCTTAGTAGCTTTACAAACTAATAGCTATAATAATGATTTGAGTAAATGACACAATCCCTAAAAGTGCACTGCAAGTATTTCATAACCGTGGTAAAAAAATAAATTAAAACCCACAAACAATTATTATTTGTGGATCCTACCTGATTCCTACCTGGACACTCATGCTATTCATGTTTTTACCTTTCAGTGAATTTGGTTCCAAAATAATCTCACTGAAGCCAATCATTAAAGTATTGCCAAAACTGTTTGAGTCTCGGGAAAAGGCTGTTCGAGATGAAGCCAAACTCCTTGCTGTGGAGATCTACCGTTGGATAAGGGATGCTCTGAGACCTCCGTTGCAGAACATAAATTCTGTTCAGGTGGGCAGAAAGTATCTGAATACAGAACTACTTGAGAAAGCACTTCCATGCTTACCCTCCCCGATCCGGTGGTGATGGGCATTCTTAAAGTCAAGGCTGAAATATTTCAGTAACAGCAGCATTATTTTATTAGCTTCCTGTAACTTTACCTAAAACGCTAGTCCCTCTTCGTTATTTGTGAAAAAATTGTGACATCTTTTGTTACTCTGAATACGTGTGAAGTTGTGGAGGAAAAGCACTGTGTGGAAACTGAGGAGGGAGTTTGAGTTGTAGAATGCCATTTCTTGGAGACATGGTTACCTTTATAAAAGACACATGCACTCAAAGTCTTCAAGTCAACCATTTTCCTTCTTGGTTTTCTTCTTTCATGAAGTTTGGCTACACAGCCCTTCAGACTTGTTCAAGTGGTACGCAGGATGCAACTGTGACGTTACATCGTGATAGAGAGCTAGGCTATTAGAGATAGAACATTCTGTTATTTTAAATTATTTATGCATCCTTCCCTCTCCCACCCACTTGAATTAGTTGTGTTCGGGTGGGAAGCAATAACTTGATGGAAAAAGGCATGTTTAAAAAACAAATATAGTTGTAAGTGTTTGTTTTGTCTTACTTTTGACATGTGATAATAGCATAGCTGTAAAGGAAATATTTTCGTGCTCAGCCATTTTTATTTTAAAGCTTTTACAGAGGGGCACGCCATTCAGACTGTTCTACAATTTGTTCTTATGTAAATGCTTTGTATTGGTGTTTTTGTTAATGATATTCTGTTCTGTGGATATACTTGGTCAAAAGCTTTTGAACAGTGAAGGTAAAGTCACTTTGGTGGCAGAAAAAAAGAACTTGAAAGGTAATGCCATCTTGGCTTTGAAATGTGAAGACTCCATTGCTTGTCTTGGGGCATGTACAAAATATCTCTGGTATGAAGACTCTTTCCACTTTTGGCAGTTAAAAGAACTGGAAGAAGAGTGGGTCAAAGTGTCATCAACTGCTCCTCGGCAGACCAGGTTCCTGCGTTCCCAACAGGAGCTGAAAGCAAAATTTGAGCAGCAGCAGGCAGTTGGAGGAGATGCAGATGGAGGTAAATTCAGTAATCTCTGAACTCTCTTGGGCAGTATATCACTGGCATACTGTTTCTGAAGGAATGCATTAAATTAAAAAGGTGCTTTTGCTCAAACTGGTGCCAAACATGGGGTGCAGTACACAACAAGAAAACATGTCTTAGACAAACACTTTGTATGAAAGAATGTCTCTCCTTTTGAAATAGCAATATCGCAGCTGCTGATAGTACTTTTCAAACAATGGGCTTCAGGTGGTGCTGTGGTCAAAACTTCATTTGTTAATCTGCTTATATTTTTTTTTTCTCTTCTTTTTGCAGGAGGTGATGATGAGGAGGAAGCAGTACCACAAGTAGATGCGTATGAATTGCTTGAAGCTGTAGAAATTCTTTCCAAGCTTCCCAAAGACTTCTATGAGAAAATAGTAAGCATAAACTTAGATACTACTAGATAATTCTATTATGTGTCAATGGCTGAGGGGAGCTACTCCAGCATTGGCCCAGCCCGCAGCAGAGTGGCAGATCTTGGCACACAGAGGGAGTTTTCCTGGGGCAGGGAAGTGCCAGGGCAGTGGAGGGACTGGCCAGGAGTCGGCAGCTCTCAAGGGAGATGTTGACAAGGCTTAAGTACACATAAGCCGGCAACTGGGCACTGTTCTGTGACCATCTGCACAGGTCAAGGGCACTTGTTGTACCTGACGCTCAAGGCAGAATGGTGGACGTGCAGCTAAGGCCGCAGCTCCATCTGGGCAGTCTGCACCATCTGTCCCAGGGGTGGCCCATGCCTCCACCCAGACGCAGCTGCTGAAGGGAGAGGCTGCAGTGCAGACCTCAGGCTGCAGGGACTGCCTGGACCTTTCTCCTGGGCACAGACCAGGCAGCAGACTGACTGCAAAAGGTGTGCCCAGGTGGAGGACTTTCTGCAGCAGATGGCTGAGCCGCAGGAGGCAGCGAGAAGGCTGTGCAGCATCAGGGAAGGTGGTTCCAAATGCAGTCTGCAGTGGACCCACAGCTCATGGCCCAAACTGGAAAGAGCAAGCATTCTTTTAGTCCGGGACTGGGCTTCGTCAAAAGAAGTGTGGTCAGTAGTTTGAGGGAGGTGATTTTTTCCCTCTACTCTGCTCTTGTGAGACCCCACCTGCAGTGTTGCATTAAGTTCTGGAGCCCCCAGCCTAAGAAGGACACGGATGGACCTGTTGGAGTGAGCCCAGAGGAGGCCACAAAGATGATCGGGGGGTTGGAGCACCTGCCCTGTGAGGACAGGCTGAGAGAGTTGGGGTGGTTCAGCCTGGAGAAGAGAAGGCTTCACAGAGACCTTATAGTGGCCTTCCAGTACCTGAAGGAGCTACAGAAAAGAAGGGGAGGGACTCTTTATCAGGGAGTGTTGTGGTAGGGTGAGGGGAAATGGATTCAGACTGAAAGAGGGTAGATTTAGATTAGATATTAAGAAATTCTTTACCGTGAGGGTGGTGATATGTTGGAACAGGTTCCCTGGAGGAGCTGTGAAAGCCCCTTTCCTGGCAGTGTTCAAGACCAGGCTGGACGGGGCTTTGAGCAACCTGTCCTAGTGGAAGGTGTTCCTGCCCGTGGGAGGGGGAAGTTGGAACTAAGGGATTGTTAAGGTCCCTCCCAACCCAAACCATCTTGTGATTCTATGATTATAATGAGTCTTAAGACTCACTGTCGTTATGAGCGTGTGCTTTACTGCTACATTGGTAACAACAGACTAGCATAAGTAAAATATAGACTATCATAAATAAGTCTCAAAATTTGATATAGCAGCAAGAAAGCTGTAATTTAAGGAGCTTGGATATGTCCTGGGAAAGGACTATATTTTGTTGCAGTTATTGATAATGAGCCATAGGGAGACTTTGGCTTTCTTAAGGTGGAAGTAAATTTTTAAATCTATGGTTTGCGGCAAGTATGCTTCTCTAGAATTGCTATAAACTAAATTATTTGTTTTGCAGGAAGCAAAAAAGTGGCAAGAAAGGAAAGAAGCTCTAGAAGCTGTTGAACTGCTGGTGAAAAATCCCAAATTGGAATCTGGAGACTATGCAGACTTGGTGAAAGTTCTCAAAAAGGTCATAAATAAACCCTAGAGTGCACATATGGTTTTGTTTGGGTTTTTTGTGTTATACTTGAAAAATTATAGTTTAAATAATACTCATGAGTAGAAAATCATTAACTGGAACAGCAGTGGAAGTAACCTAATCTGTGGCTGACCAACTATTCTAAGAAATTCTTCCAAGTTGCTGAAACATGAAAGAATTTTCAGCTTTTAACATTTCTTTTTTTGAGTTTGGGTGGTTTTTCTCTTTTCAGGTTGTTGGGAAGGATACAAATGTTATGCTAGTTGCTTTGGCTGCCAAATGCCTTGCTGGACTAGCTTCTGGCCTCAGAAAGAAATTTGGACAGTATGCAGGGCATGTAAGTAAGCGTATGTACTTGTTTTCTGTTTGTGTTGGTGCTGGATGCTTTTTCTTTCCTCCTGTCAAACACTGGTGTTTATCAGAAGTTTTCTTTGTACAATTATGAATGCTTACCTACCCTGTAATGGAGCAAGCAGTGAAATATCTGCCAAGATCTCTTGTAGTTTAAGATTAAAAGGACCATGTTTATTCACACTCAGCAACATAAAGCTTACCATTGCAATAAATTCTGTACTAAGACAACTCTGAGTTATTCAGCCATGAAATGAACTTTATTTACATTACATCACCCTGGAGATGCCCCCACAGAAAATGCATTTGTAGGCCACAGTGAAGGAAAAATATCTTCTGAACCTGAATTCTGCTTAGCAGCTCCATAATGTATGTTGTAGGTTGGTTGGCTTTTCTGAATGTTGCTCGCTGTTTATTGTCTGAGTTTTGTGTGCTTTTTTTTTGTCTGCTTTGAATAGCTGAACTACCGAGATTTTTGGTACCAAAATGTTCTGGTAATCTAGTTTAATGCTCTTCTCTGTTCTCCTTTGCTCCTCTTCTCTTACCAACAGCTAGTATCATGGAATATGGGGATGCTTAAGCAGTCTCTGGAATGAAAGGAAGGTTTTTATTAGTAGCAGTTATCTCACTTGTTTCTCAAGCCACTCTTGCTCTGTTCTTTAAGTTGCTCAATCAGATTACTCTGGTGATAAGCAAGAGTGATGGAAATAGAGCTTAGAGACAGAACTGATGTGTCTGACTGCCAGTAGTGTTATGTTTTATGGTGAATTGGAAGATTAGTCAACCTCACTGCTTCAGAAACATTCAAGTCTCCTGATCTCTGAATGAATTTGGAGAAAGTCTCTTCCATTGTGAAAGCTGCCTGTAGTTACAAGAAGCATTTTTACATCAGTTTATACTTCATTCGTGTTTTAAAGATTAACCCTCGTTGCTACAGAGTTAGTATTGAAATATTGGCATCGAGAAGATGACTTTTTCACTACTGTAATGGCAACTCTGAATTGCTTAATTTCAACACTCATTTTACCTGTTTGCTTGATTTATTTACTAGTGAGGAAGACTTTAGACTTCTAGGAGTGGACATTCAAAATGTTACAAACCAGAGCTGTTGCTAGAATTATGGGCTTATTAAAAACTGTATTAGTTAAATGTGGTGCTGTAATGTTACAGTCTGCAGTCTGTGTTAAAATGAGAGTGATGAAATCAAATGTAGAACCGTGCTACTCGCTGTAATAGAGAGCACGTGGCCCAACTTCAGCTCTGTTGACTGTCTTTGCAACCCTGGACTGACTTCTTCCTTCTCTCCCTCTCTCACATGGAATAGGGCTTCTAACTTCCATGTTAAAAAACAAAAATCCCTTCTAGCTGTCAGCATTGTCTAAAACTGAGACTTAATGTTTTTAAATGTCTCTTTCCTATGACTTTGTTCAGTGTAGAGTTTAGAGGTGTCTGGCACCTGCTGTAGCATGAGTGAGAGTTGGGTCCTTATGATGCCGTTCTGTATTAGTTGAAGGGTGGAGTTTTGTGGGGGTTTTTTAGTGCTAAAGTTTTTGTGAACGGGGAATCTGCAAGTTGCAGCCCAGCCAAGGATACCAGCTGGGCCTAGGTCACTGCGTGTCCCAAGGGGTTGAGATCTCATAGTTAGTTTCTGATTAGAAAGCATTATCTCTGGCAAACCTATTTTATGTTATGCAGGAGCTTAGATGCTGTGCTCTTAGATGTTTTTGAATTTTTATAATATGTTATCTATCCCCTTTCCCAGCTTCTTGACTCATGTGCTGTTGAAACCATTTAATTTCCATTCTGTTGGTCTGTGTTCCAGACCAGTAGAGCCAGAGTAAACATCTGTAATTATGTGAACTTACATATCTGCTTTTTGTTTAGCATTGGTATGAAATTGCTCAAAAATCTGTATTTGTTAATAAATGTACTGGAACAAATTTAATATTGGAGCTCAGCAAGAATAAAGTAGTTCATGCTACTGTTGTGTACTCCTGGAGCAGGCAGCAGTGACGTTTGCTTTATTTGCTTCTCTGCAGAATACAAAGGAGCAGACTATCAGACATTTTCAGTTATATCAGCGCAGAGTGGATTGACTTTTTTGTTTCTTTTTCCCTCTTCCGTAGGTTGTTCCAACAATCCTGGAGAAATTTAAAGAGAAGAAGCCTCAGGTAGTGCAGGCACTGCAGGAGGCCATTGATGCTATCTTTCTTACAGTAAGTAAGAGTTGTTTGAGAAGCCATCTCCATTTTTTATTTGCTTTTCTCATAACGAAAACTAATGACTTCTTTATCCTACACTGTAGACCACGTTGCAGAACATAAGTGAAGATATCTTGGCAGTGATGGACAACAAAAACCCGACAATTAAGCAGCAAACATCCCTTTTCATTGCAAGAAGCTTCCGTCACTGCACACCTTCTACTCTGCCAAAAAGCCTGTTAAAACCTTTCTGTGCTGCACTTCTCAAGGTAAAGCAGGAGGAATTGGTACTTCTGCAGCATTAACTCGAGCACGGTTGATGTGAAGCATTGAGTTGCTTTGGGAGAAAGACCCTTATGGTAGCGCAAGGGCTAAAGAGCTCTTAGGTTCTGTGTAGCAGTCAGAGTCAGTTTTGACTGATGTCAAACCTGAAGGTGACTCAGTGATGGGAACAGTTTAGTCTCCTTTTAGCTTCCCTGAAACTGAAGACTCGCCAAGTTTATAACGATTAAGGTGGTGATTCGTAACTGTTAAACTTCTGTGCACTGCACCACTTGCTTCTTGCAGGCATTTCTGAAGGTTTTGTTGGAATGCTTCATTCATATCAGTTACCATGAATGAAAAAAACACTTTGATTCATACACTACAGTTATGCTAGAGCATTTATCAGTGTAAAAGGGTAATGATGTACACTTTTTTTCTCGCTGTAAAATAGCCTTCTCCTTTTTAATGGGAAATATCCCCACCTTCAGAAATGGAGATAGGAACAGGGCTGCAGAACTTCAAACTCCTTGTGAACTTTCGTGTTTACCCTCTTCTTGTTGTGTGAAAATTCAAAAGGTGGGAACCTTGGCTATATCTGAGAAACGATTGACTTGGTCAGTACATAGGAAAAAAGGGGAAAAAACCCCTTTTTCCTGCAATGGAATGTTAAGGATTATTCTGTAGCAGAGGTAGATTTTGACAAGGTGAGGAGATTTAAAAATCTGTTTAGATACGATGCGCAAACCGTATGATAAAACTTCTTTCTCTGCAGCATATCAATGATTCCGCTCCTGAAGTAAGAGATGCTGGATTTGAGGCATTAGGCACTGCCTTGAAAGTGGCTGGAGAGAAAGCTGTGAATCCTTTTCTAGCAGATGTAGACAAACTAAAGCTTGACCGGGTGAGTTTATCTTAAGTGTTACAAGAGATGCTCAATTTATCCATTTAAGATGCATCTTAGGCTACAGAAGACTATAGAGGATGCTTCAGCTTAAGACTTATAGCAGTTTTTTTTAAATTTTTTTTCTACTTAAAAGTTATTGATGTTGCAGAGCATCTGAGAATCTCTTTATTTCTTGCTAGATCATCAAGCATCCTTTTTTTCTAGTTTCACTACCTAAAATGCTTTATTATGTTAACATTGTGCCTTTTCGTTCTTGTGTAAAGTATCTGTTTGGCTTCAAGGCTGTATTATTTATGAGGCGAGTTGTGAGGTTTGGGGGTTTTTTTATTCCTGGTAGTTGGTTGTGTAGGAGGTTTTGGGTTTGTTTTTTTGAATACTTTCTCTGTTGTCTGAAACAGAGTTTAGAATTTTAGGTCACAACCACGTGGCCTGTTTCTGTATTACTAGACAGATTTCGACATTAAAGACTTACTTTGCAACAGCAGAGTTTTCATACTTTGTGAAAGCTGACAGGTTTGACTGAATGATAATTTTATAATTTAAGATTCTAAGAAATAGTCTTTAGATCATGTATAAGTATCGGAGGCTGTCAATGCTTTCTATGTGTATAAATCCGCTTTGCTTTGAACTAGGAAAATTTTTCTGCCAACACCGATGGCTGATGCCATTGATTGGTTAACATCACAAATGTCAGGAACGTGGGTGATGAGATCTTATTATTTTGTGAAGTGAATGTTTTTTTCCAGAGTAGTCAAGTTTGAGCCACACTGTTGAAGGAACACTATGCATCCAATTGAAGTAGCTCAATAGCTTTTTCCATTTTGTCCATGTCCCCTTCCCCCGTCCCCTCTTTTTTTTTTTTAAATTGCTTGTCAGATTAAAGAGTGTGCGGAGAAGGTAGAACTGGTTTATGGTAAAAAGACAGGAGGAGCTGCGGAGAAAAGAGAAGGCAAGCCTATTACTGGAAAGACCCCTGCTCTTTCAGGAACTGGTGGAGATAAAGAAACAAAAGATGCAGCATCCAAACCAGGACCACTGAAAAAACCACCTGCTGTGAAGGTAAGATATTGCCAAGAGATCATTGAACAGCCACAGTTGCCTGTGAATGCATCATATAGTTCCTTACTGAAGATCAGAGGTGGCCTGTTGAACATCTCCTTCAAATGAAGGATCACTCTCTCTTTAGGAGTAGGTGAGCCCAACAACAAAAAGAATCTGGAACTAAGAGCGTACTTGATGAAAAATCAGTTTTTAGTGCTACAAACTGTCTTATCGCTTACATCTTAATACCAGATTTTGATACTGAAATAATGATAGAGGAGCCTCAGTTGTCGTAACATCAAAGTGCTCTGTGGTGATACAGTGTTATTTGGCTGAAGTCTGTCTCATAACTCGCAAGGTTGCTAAAGTGTTGAATGTTCTCTCTGGTGGTGTTTTTAGTGTGTTACCATAAATAATTTGGACCATTAGCCTGTATTATTTTAAAATCAGGACTTGGATTTCAAAAATTGGTGTAAGTAGTGCTATAGATGGTCTTTGTAATACCCTACATATATCTTCAGGTGGGAAGGCTGGAGATGAATAGTAGAATGGGTCATGTTTTTTAATATGTATTGATACTCTAGAAGAGAGACACCAGTCACAAGTCGAATATTTAATCAACATCCATAGGAGAATACATAGGTGAATTCATGATTTTTCTGAACCTTCACAAATGTATACATTATTTCCCTTTTCATATTTATTGTTTTGTGTATCCCGGTTACTGTACACATTTTATAAAATGTAGTAATCTGAAAGCAACATAGGAATTAAATAAGCTCTAGCAGAAAGCTGTTACTTTGCCTGCAGCTGTTATGGGCCTAGAGAGAGATTTAATTTTTAATGTTAAAACGTAGACTGTGGAAAAGCAGCAGTTCTTTTAGTATCTGATTAAATAGATCTTGGCTAACTTGTCTGTTTCCATTCCAGTCTGGGGGCCCATCCAAGAAAGGCAAACCATCCGCAGCTGCAGGTGTGGGAGGAGCTGGGGCTAAAGGCAAGAAGGTTCCTGAGACCAAAGAAATATTTGAATCAGAGCTCTCTGTGAGTATTCTGCTCTTCTGTGAAATACGAAGTCCTCTGTATAAGTAGCTTTGATTAATCAGTTCTTCAGCAAGTACAGAATTTTTCACTGAAGTTGGTTGGTTTTGGGGTGGTTTTTTTTTTTTTTTTTGTTAGGACAAGGAAAAGCAGTACATTTAAATTCATAACTGGCAAAATGGGTATTTGATATATTCTGGTAAACACATGCATTCTTCAGACTGTTGCTAGTACCAGGCCATATAAGACAGTAAACAATAAATCACGCTAATATAATTCATCATATCATGTTGTCCCTGAACCAGGAACAAGTGAAAAAAAGTAATGACTAAAGATATGACTACTTTATACATAATTTAGGATGCATGATTTGCTGAAGGTGTTCAGTATTAAGAGCCTGAGAATACACTATTCTGCAATTTACACCGAAGTCTGAGGTAGAATATAGTAATAATTAAACAAACTGGTGCAGTTTTGTTCCATGCTGTTCATACTACGTTACACTTCAAGAAAGTGATTGAATTCTATGTATTAATTGAGCGTCTACCTACCCTTTTTGGTAGGGAACTGGGTAAACTAAGCTCAGACAATAACAAAAAGCTGTTAAAGCTTTACTAGATGTATCTTTTTGGTTTTTTGGACTGTCAGTTTTCTTCTGAGTATCACTTAAATTGAATACTTTCCATTGCGTATCCGGTTTACTTTACCAGTTATACAGTGGAAAATGGGTATATGCTTTCTGAAGGTGATACAGACACCAGTGAAGAAAGGGAAGTTTTTATCACTTTGCATATACCAAATTCTTCATTTAACTAAATGCAAAAAGATAAGCTTCTTCCATCCACCCTCATCAACCACCGATTCATTGCTGTGAATGTTGATTCAGATTCCCTAGAAGATTATCTTGCGTATTTTAGGTTACCTGTGCTTGATTCTTTAAGTAGACAGTGGCTACTCAGGATTATTTTTGACTGTCTGCACAACGTATCGTGTTTTTCAGGGATTACTTTTCTGTTGTAGTACAATTTAGCAGCTTCCTAAATTCGTAAGGCACATAAACTATAATCCATGTGAAATCTTTCAACCTATAACAGAAAACTTTTCGTATTTTGTAAATATGCCACAGTACAAGTGGTGTATTACCTGTCCTTGCGGCTGCTGTCCCCCTCCAGAGGAATACAGTAGGGTCTTGACCTTGTTCTGATCTGTCTGCAGATAGAAGTATGTGAAGAGAAAGCTGCTGCTGTCCTTCCAGCTTCTTGTATCCAGCAGTTAGACAGTGGTAACTGGAAAGAGAGGCTTGCCTGCATGGAGGAGTTTCAGAAGGTAAGTTTGTGGCAGTTGATCAGAAGAGAGGCAGGTGAGGAAAGAAAGCAATCATCTGTTCAGCTTTTTAAGGCTGGTAGCTCTGAATAGATATACCAGTAGTAGTGATGTATCAGCACTCAGATGGATTAAGCAATACTTGCAAAAGATAACTGGCTTGTATGGTTTGAATTGGCTCTTATTGTGTAACAATAGTGGAGCAAGTCTTTTAGTTTAATGTAGATAGTTAGGCTAGGTTTTGTCAAAAATTTTGTATGTGGCTTGAGCATGCACAGAGATATTTCTAAACCACTGAGTAGTTCTAAAGCTTAGTTGCAAAAGATAACTAGGTTTAAATAAAATGAAGTTTTGCAGTGACTGGGCAAGACCAGTTGTGTGCAAGTCCCTGCTGATCCCATGTTAGACAGCACTTGGTTGTAATACTAAAATTTCAGTTGGCAAACAGCTGATATTTGAAGCCTTACACAGTGCCTGCAGTCTTCACAGCTGGTGGTGAGGGCTTTGCGTAGTCCCAAACGAAAAAGCATCCTGTGTCACTCGAATGTTGAAGCCTGGCTTTCTTTTCATGGTATCTGTCGTAAGACCTTTGAGAGTCCACCTGCAAAAAGGCATCAGCTGTAGGTGTGTGGATGGTTCATACCACATCATTATGTTGCTACTGAGTTTTAATATTTTAGTGGACAAGGTGACTAATGTAAATTGTGAAGTGGTGACTGACTGCACTGAAATGCTGCTGCAGAAGCTGCCTTTACACGAATGTAAAAATATTACCTGTTTCAGTGGAATGGATAAGCCTAGTAACAAGGAAAAAATGGTAATTTAGATTATATTCTGGCTTAATCTGTGCTGTATAGTCAGCATTCCAGTGTGACAAGGTGCACAGCCTCTTAAAAAAGAGAACAAAACAAAACACCCCCCCAAAAAAAAACAAACAAGGGGAAAAAAAAAGGCTGTTGGTTTTTATTCTCAAGAGTTGGAATGGACATTAGTGGTTGTAAGGACCCTTGTTAAAGGACATACAAAGTGTATCAGTGTGGGTGCTGTAGTTGTTGGCTCTGTACCTGTAAAATGGGCTCCTTTCTTGTGGTACAGGCCTTCAGGTAATTTCTTGTGCTGAGCATTTCTACAGTTTAGGTTAATGTTAAGAGAATATTTTACAGGACAGTTGAAGTAACTTCTCTTTGGTTTTGGTATTGTATCACTTGTGACCTACTGGCTAACAATGTTTATCCTCTAGGCTGTTGAGCTTATGGAGAGAACTGAAATGCCTTGCCAAGCTCTGGTAAGAATGCTGGCCAAGAAACCTGGTTGGAAGGAAACAAATTTTCAGGTAATACATTATTCTGCAGTAGCTGCCAGTCAGTTTTTCAGTTTTTGATTTGCTTGGGGTTTTATTTACTTATTTAACTTTTTTTTACTTGACGTAAATTGTGCTTACAACTGAAAGGCTGTAGGTGCCTATATGTCATTGACAGTCCTAGTGCCGCCATCACAGTTGTATCTGTAGTCAGCGATACAAACTTTGAAATTAGATTTTAATTCTACTGACAGCTGAGACTTAGAGACAAATTTGAGGATCTCTAGATGTATGTGTATACATTTGTGTGGATTTTTGTATGCATGTGTGTATATATGTTCTAAAAGTAGATAATGGCTGCCCAGTATTATTGATTGTGTATGTGTACATATATATGGATATAAAAATAGGTAGTTGCGTGTATACACGTGTGTGTTACGACAGAAAACCATATATATACAAGTGTGTATTTATATAAAATATGTATTTGTGTACCCAAAAGTGGTTTGTGTAATTAAAATACTTTTGTATATTCAAATGTATATCTACATTTGTGTGTGTATACATGCAAATACATGATTTATGTATACATTTGTGTTTACCCACAAATACATATATTTGGTTTAAAATACATGAAGACATATAAGTAACTTCCTTGCTGTTATGGACATTGCAGGTGATGCAGATGAAGCTTCACATAGTTGCATTGATTGCACAGAAAGGAAACTTCTCCAAAACTTCAGCCCAGGTTGTGCTGGATGGTCTAGTAGACAAGGTTGGTGATGTGAAATGTGGGAGTAATGCAAAAGAAGCCATGACAGCAATAGCAGAGGCGTGTCAGTTGCCATGGACTGCTGAGCAGGTGAGTGAGCAGCAAAGGTGTTCTTCCAGTGAATAAAGTCAGAAATACTGTGTGGGATCTTCTTTCAGTCTGAGGAGTAATTCCTAGACCTTTGACTTTCTCTGTTGCCTGAAAGTGATTTCTTTGCCCTCAAGATACCTCTTAAGGCAGAAGGTAAGTGCAAGTTCTTTCAAAAGAAAAATAATGTGTAGCAAATCGGTGTTTTGCTGAAATACTGCCAAAGCAGGTATATATTCATAATAAAGATATCTCAGTCTGCCTTTAAGTACTTCGTGAGCTTCTGGTTCACTTCAATTGCAAACATATTTGACTACAGTGACAAAATAAATTCTTTCTCCTGTGTTACACAGCTGTTTCTGTTTATTTGCAGTGCCCTGTGTTTTTTTGGAGATGTCTTCACTCCCTTACTACAGCACTTTGTCACCTGTTTTGCCAGCGAAAACTGACACTTAACTCTTTTCTGTTCCAGGTTGTGACTATGGCTTTCTCACAAAAGAATCCTAAAAACCAGTCAGAAACTTTGAACTGGCTTTCAAATGCAATTAAAGAGTTTGGTTTCTCTGGGTATGTCTTTTAAGTAAATTGCTAAGAGAAATGTGAATGAAAATATTTCTAATGCAAGACTTAGAATCTGTTCTTCTCTGTCAAACTGGTTTGAAGAGGATTGCTGCAAGTCTTTTAAGTAAATTGCTAAGAGAAATGTGAATGAAAATATTTCTAATGCAAGACTTAGAATCTGTTCTCTGTCAAACTGGTTTGAAGAGGGTTGCTGCAAGTGCATCTGAATTCTTGTTCCTTAAACTCTGACGCCAGCTCTGTCAGGTGCTCTTTTAGCTCTAAATGTGTAAATGAAAGTATTTAACATCGCTAAGATACAGGTGGGTCACTGTATCTTATAGTTCAAAAAAGCAAAACCTGACAGCCTACAGAAGTGTACATACCAGCATGCTTATTGGTCCCCTTGAGGACGAAGTTTTAGCCACAAAATAGCCATTATTGCATCCATTATTGAGGGTAAGAAGTGGATTCTCCATCAGAACCAGGGATAGCATTCCTTAATTTTTAATCACCTGTCTCTTAACTGATGTGGTCAAGCATGGGTTACATAGTTTGCTCCTGAAAGCAAAATTTCTAAGTAGTGAAGACTTCAAATATTTGTTTATTTGACTACCTGGGCACCTAGTATGCCTGACCAAGTTGTTTCACAGCTATATTTAACAGTAACATTGATTAAGTCTGAAAAATAATATTTATTCTGTAGTGAATTCCCCAAAAGTACGTGTTTTCAGCAGGGCAATCTGTCTGTAGATACAAGAACAGCACTGTTAGAGGCTGCCCAAAGGAAGCTTCCACGATTGCCTGTTTTCTCTTTTATTGAATTCAGTGGTAGTACAGACGATGCAGTAATCTAAACCTTCATTTCTTTCTCTGTGAATTTCTTTTTGAAATTTGTGCCTTTTTGTGGAAGATCCTGAGACAGACTAAGAGGGAAAAAAACCAAAAACCCCTTACTTGTATTATGTAGCCATATTTCAGGTGCATAAGTGATTCTGGATTCATTCCACAGGATTTCAGATGCAGCAATCATGTGGGTGATGTAGTTTTAAGAAACTTTCCAGCAGTAATAGTAGCAGTCTTTGATATGAATTATCTTGTGTTTTCTGTATTGATTTTCCTGGTAGGCTGTTCCCCAGACTGGTCTCTTTCAGTAGGTGTTTGGAGAGCTATGATCTACACTATACTTATGATGACATAAGTGTTACTTATCCCTGTGAGAGAGTTTTTAATAATGATATTACATAATTAATAATTGTTGTATGTGTACATCTGTTTATAATTATCTTGGGCTTGCTAGTTGTATGAATCTGTTCTTAGTGCATATTTTTTCTTTAGCATATTGTGATGATTTTGTTTCTTTTTGGTACTGTGTTGCATTTTACTTAGGGGGGATCCCTACAGGCTGAATGTCAAGGCTTTCATCAGTAATGTAAAGACAGCTCTTGCTGCAACTAACCCAGTGAGTAGATACAGAATTTTAATTCTGCATTATTATCAATCCTTAATTTGAAGACTGAATGCTTTTGTCTTCTTTCTGTCAGGCTGTAAGGACTTCTGCCATTACCTTGCTTGGAGTCATGTATCTTTATGTGGGACCTCCTTTGCGAATGTTTTTTGAGGATGAGAAGCCTGCCCTTCTCTCCCAGATAGATGCAGAATTTGAAAAGGTATGAAGTGGAGCTCCCTTACTACCAAGTATCATTAAAGCTACTTGGAAACTGTAGTAGCTGGAGTCTGTAGTATTACTATGGTCTAACCTGTGCTTCTGTGAGTGAGACAGATTTTTTTAAGACAGCTCACCGAAGCAGCTACAAACTCATTATATCTTGCTGAGTCAATAGTTGCTTTTTTATGACAAACTTCAAGTTTCTGGTTTAGTTTGAAAAGAATAATGTTTTAGAAGTCTATCACCCAGAGACAGCACATTTGTATCATGCAAGTGGTTTTATTTTTAATGGTGAAATAGCTGATTTTTGTCTTCCTTGCAGATGCAAGGGCAGACAGCACCAGCCCCAACTCGTGGCATTTCCAGGCACAGTGGGGGAGGTGGAGATGATGGTGAGGAAGAGGAGCAGGAGGAAGTTGGGAATGACGTTGTGGATCTCTTGCCAAGAACAGATATTGGGTAGGTTTGGATTCTACAACCTGAGGACATGCTTCCATGTCAATTCAGAACTCTGTATTTATAAATATTTACTAAGCAGAAATTGGTTGTGTCAAATATTAAAAAGCACATAACTAAGCAAATGGGCTTTAATCTGTTTTTCCTCTCACAGTGATAAGATCACAGCTGAACTAGTGTCTAAGATTGGGGACAAAAACTGGAAGATCAGAAAAGAAGGTCTAGATGAAGTGACAAGCATAATAAATGATGCTAAGTTCATCCAGCCAAACATAGGAGAACTTCCAGCTGCTTTGAAGAGTCGTCTCAATGACTCCAATAAAATCTTGGTATGTTATTCAAAATCGTGTGTCACCCATTTCCAGGTTAAAACTTAAGACAAATTATTTACGATTTCTGAACCTTAATTATTATTCAGTTTCTTACAATGTTGTGACATCAACAGTTGGAAAATAGAAAACTGTATTTCTAGATCATATATTTTTCTATTTTTATAAATATGTCTTTGCCATTTTTAAGGCTTTTTTAAATGTAAAGCAAAATATACCTCTGCTCTGAATGTAATGTAAGCAAATCTAAAAAAAAAAGACAAAAAACCCACAAACAAAACAAAAATGTGCTTGAATAATTGTTTGCTTGTGCCAAAAGTGTCCCTTGTTTGAAAATATCTTTAGTTAAACTTCAGTTTATTCAGAGTATAGAAATAGTAATTTGAAGTCTGGAATAGATACATTGAGCAGACTTTCTGAAGTAAAAGCCTAAGTGTACAGCAGTGTTGCTTTTCCCTGTGTAACTTTCTGTTACAACCATATGTGCAAAACTGCATTTTATTCAAAGCCTTTTTGTTTATGTGCAGGTGCAACAAACGCTGAGTATTCTTCAGCAGCTGGCAACAGCAATGGGCCCCAATATTAAACAGCATGTGAAAAATTTGGGCATTCCCGTCATTACAGTCCTAGGAGACAGTAAGGTAGGACTCTCAATGAGATCTTTCTTTTTGTGGCTCAGTATGAGCTGTGCCTGAGAATAATATTGCTATTTGGACTTGCTTTTGTGAGGTGTAATTAAAACTTATTTGGAAGCTTATGAATTTTTTTGGAAGGTTGTTGTCTAAATGACAAGTTGCTATTTAGATATGAATGTATGCCTGAATTTATATATATGTACTGTCTGAGGTGTGTTCTTCTCATAAATAGAATCACAGAATGTTAGGGACTGGAAGGGACCTCGGAAGATCATCTAGTCCAATCCCCCTGCCGGAGCAGGAACACCTAGACGATGTTACACAGGAAGGCATCCAGTCGGGTTTTGAATGTCTCCCGAGAAGGAGACTCCACCACCTCCCTGGGCAGCCTGTGCCAGTGCTCTGTTACCCTCACTGAGAAGAAGTTTCTTCTCAAATTTAGGTGGAACCTCTTGTGTTCCAGTTTAAACCCATTACCCCTCGTCCTACCATCGGTTGTCACTGAGAAGAGCCTTGCTCCATCCTCGTGACACTCACCCCTTACATATTTATAACCATTAATTAGGTCACCCCTCAGTCTCCTCTTCTCCAAACTAAAGAGACCCAGCTCCCTCAGCCTTTCCTCATAAGGGAGATGCTCCACTCCCTTAATCATCTTGGTTTCCCTATGCTGGACTCTCTCCAGCAGTTCCTTATCCTTCTTAAACTGAGGGGCCCAGAACTGGACTCAATATTCCAGATGTGACCTCACCAGTGCAGAGTAGAGAGGAAGAACCTCTCGTGACCTACTAACCCCCCCCCTTCTAACCCAGCCCAGGAAGCCATTGGCCTTCCTGGCCACAAGGGCACAGTGCTGGCTCATGGTCATCCTGCTGCCCACCAGGATCCCCAGGTCCCTTTCCCCTCCACTGCTCTCTAATAAGTCATTCCCGAACCTATACTGGAACCTGGGGTTGTTCCTACCCAGATGCAAGACCCTACACTTTCCCTTGTTATATTTCATTAAATTTTTCCCCACCCAACTCTCCAGCCTGTCCAGGTCTCGCTGGATGGCAGCACAGCCTTCTAGCGTGTCAGCCACTCCTCCCAGCTTGGTGTCATCAGCAAACTTGCTGACAGTACACTCAGTTCCCTCATCTAAGTCATTTATGAATATATTGAATAATACTGGCCCCAGCACCGACCCCTGAGGGACCCCACTAGATACAGGTCTCCAACTGGACTCTGCCCCATTGACCACGACTCTCTGGCTTCTTCCCTTCTGCCAGTTCACGATCCACCTCACTACCCGATCATCCAGTCCACACCTCCTCAGTTTAGCTGTGAGGATGCTGTGGGAAAATAGACCCAAGCAGTGTCATAATTGAGATTTTTAAATGAAATGTGACCATATGCGTATTTCTGATGTTGAAAACATGCTGCGTTAGACACTGATCAGTTTTACTTGGTGAAGTTGATTTTAGAAGTTTTTGTTTTGGTGTATCAGTGTGGATTCCAGTGTTTGTTGTTGTGTTTCTGTCACTATATAGCAGACCTTTGAACTCTGGGTAGAAACAGGGCACTTGCAACTGATGCTGAATCTTGTATGTTGTCAGTGTTAAGCTTATCAAGATCCTATGCCAAAAAGCTAGGACCATGGGAAAGATCTGTCTGAAGCAATAGGGGAACGAGGTTTGGAAAGATGCCAGCGGTTTCACTAAGGTCAGATAATTCGTGACAAATTTGGTGGCCTTCTATGACAGGGCATCAGCTTTGATAGATAAGGGAGGAGCAACTGACATCATCTACCTGGAATTGTGCAAAGTTTTTCACGCTGTCCCACACACCATCCGTGTGTCTGAATTGGCGAGTCATCGATTTCACAGATGGACCAGTCAGTGGATGAGGAAGTGGCTGGATGGTTGCCAGCTGAAGATGAGCCGTCAGTGTGCCCATGTGGCCAAAAAGGCCAAGAGCATCCAGAAATAGTGTGGCCGAAGAAGGGCAATGAGACTGGTGAAGACTCTAGAGAAGAAGTCTTATGTGGAGTGGCTGAGGGAACTGGGGTTGTTTAACCTGGAGAAAAGGAGGCTAAAAGGAAGTTGTAGCAGGGTGGTTGCTGGCAAGTAACAAGTGAATAGGATGAGAGGAAAGAGCCTCAAATTATACTGGGGGGATTTAGGTTGGATATTAGGAAAAGTTTAGTCATAGAAAGGGTTGTTAAGCATTGGAACAGAGAAGGGGTTGAGTCACCATCCTTGGACGTATTTAAAACGATTTGTAGATGTGGTGCTTGGGTTTATTGGCAGATCTGGCATTGTTATGTTAACAGTTGAACTCAATGATCTTAAAGGTCTTTCCTAACCTAAATGATTCTGTGATACTAGGAAGAAATTCTTCACTGTGAGGGTGGTGAGACCCTGGCACGGGTTGCCCAGAGAAGCTGCAGATGCCCCTTCCCCACAAGTGTTCAAGGCCAGGTTGGATAGGGCTTTGAGCAACCTGGTCTAGTGGGAGGTGTTGGAACTAAATGATCTTTAAGGTCCCTTCCAACACAAAAGATTCTGGTTCTGTGAAGTTACGGGCAATTATCAGAGGTGGTGTACTTCAGACATCTCTGAATGTTAGTAGGAAAAGGAAACTGGATCTGCCTGTCCCAAGCGATGGAAGAACTAGGAATGTGACTAGGACTAGTTAAAAAATCTGTTGGTATTATTTTCTCATTAATAGCACTACGGAACTGAGATTTTACGTGATTAAGTCAGATTCTTTATTTATCAATTATCTTAAGGAAAAAGCAAGCTCCTCTCAGTTCTAAATACATGGTGTAAAGAGAAGACCAACTGTAATTGACTTATACTGTTTCTAAAATATATAAGACTAAAATGTATAATGCTAGTATAGTGCTGGCAGAGGATTGTGTACTGATTCAGACGTTGTTAAAACAATACATCAAAAAAGTTACTGCAAGGTTTACCCAGTTTATCCAATTGTGACATTTTTTGAAGATGAGGAGGATCTTTTCTGGACCCTACTTCAAAATCTTCCTAGAGGACCCACTGAATAGTTGAGGAAAATCAACAACTTGTAGCATGAGTGAAGACAAATTAAGTTTGGGTGATGGAAACCAAGACTTTGTCAGGGAGGCTGATGAGCCTTTATTTACCTGCAGCACATGATTTCTTTGTTTTCCTCGATGACATCAAAGATGGGACAAGTTATTTGCAAGGATGCTCACTTGTTTAGATACATACCTGGATGTTACCTTTGCATTTAAAATTGATTCATACTGAAGCTTAAATGGTTCTTATATTATCAGCTTGCCTCAGAAGTTCAGCCTCCAGGAGCCATATATATGGAGTCATGTCTATATTGATAAAGATTTGAAGAACTGTGGTTGCCAAGTATTTCATCTGACTTCTTGTGATTTCACATAGCTGCTTTGGCAAAGGCTGCTGTTCTAAATTTTACTGGCGAAAAAACCCACTGCAGATGGAAGTTGGTAGGAACTAGAGGGCTCCCTTTTCCTGACTTTGAGTCTTGCTCATCTGTTACTGTCACTAAAATGAAATTCTGAATCTTTAGACTTCTCAAGCAGTGAATAAAAATAGAGATTTCAAAGCCTGTGATGTAAAACCTTTTCCTTTCATGAGAATGGTGAATCTATTGCTTTTTCTATTATAATCTGACCTTTCTCTAGGATTATTCTTAAATCTTATTCTTGCTACAGAATAACGTTCGTGCTGCTGCACTAGCTACTGTGAACGCCTGGGCTGAACAAACTGGCATGAAAGAGTGGTTGGAAGGGGAAGACCTGTCTGAGGAGCTCAAAAAAGAAAATCCTTTCTTAAGACAAGAGGTAGGCTTCTGTTAAGCAAACATCTCCTTATGTGCGTCTGATCAAAATAACCTCACTTGCTGTGGGCTGTGTGTGTCTGTGCAGACTGAAATGACACAATGCTGCCATTACACGAGTAAACAAGGAGCTGTGTCCTCATACTGATACGAAATTGTTAAACCTCCAAAGGCTGATAACGAGCTTTCTTCCTAGATGATAGATGTCTTTCTGATTTCAGTGCCTCCGAAGTCCAACTTCTGCCTGTCTTGATCAGTCAGTGTTTTAAGAGCTACTTAACCAGTAGAGCAAATTAACACACGGTAATTAAAACTAGAACTGAAGTGGAGGTATTGATATGTTTGAGTCTGACAAAATGCAGCCGAAATGTTGGTAGTACTTTCAACATGAAGATAGAGCCTGTGCACGCTTAAGAAACCAGTCTTCCACATTTTAAGATAGCTCCACATACTTAATTCTTAAACTTTTTTTTAAATGCTGACATGAAAGTTGATGTTCATTAAGAATGTTTTAGGAACAAAGGCTGGGGTGAGTTGTTTTCCTTACGCAGAGGTGTGTGAAGCACTGCTATTCAGGCTCTTGTGACTTGACAAAGCACTGTGAACACTTCTTCAAAAACTTTTTTTTTTTTTAAACTTTCAGCTTCTTGGTTGGTTGGCTGAGAAATTGCCTACCCTCCGTTCTGTTCCTTCTGACCTACTCTTGTGTGTGCCTCACCTGTACTCCTGCCTTGAAGATCGAAATGGGGATGTGCGTAAGAAGGCGCAGGATGCCCTCCCGTTCTTTATGATGCATCTTGGCTTTGAGAAGATGGCAAAAGCCACCAGCAAACTGAAGGTATTTCTGTCACTAAGATTAGGTAACGACCTTGAATGAGTGGATCTTAACAAGTCACATTCACAATCTCATGATGCGCTGTCTCGAGTCATGCAAGTTTACCCGCATTGAATATTTTCAAGGGGTCTGAAAATAGTATCAGAAGGCTGTTAGAGCTTTCTCTACTTCAGAAAGACTATTGCCACCACAGGTTTATCACTTCAGGAGCTTGACATTTATTCACTCTGCTTTTCTTTTGAAAAAAAAGGTATCTTCAAATAGCTTCTCATACCAACTGTCCAACTTGTACACCTTTGAACACATGCTTTAGGGTGGCTTCTGGGAATTTGGTGTAGCTTATGGACCCCTGAGTGCTGAATCACTGTTAGGGCACTTTGTTAGTGTCATAGGACTGCTCACCTAGAGCAGATTGCTGGAAACTTAATGGAAAGGTGTTTTATCTCAGAACAGAAATATCTGAAGATGTCCATGTCTTGGAATATGCTAAGGAGAGATAGCTTGTTTCAAACTACTGTCATTTTCCTTGTCTGTGGCATGTATTAGTAATCACTCATCTTTCCAAATATATCACTTCTTCTTTTTTACTTTTTTTTTTTCCTTCCTCCCTTCTATTCTTCAGCCGACTTCCAAAGACCAGGTACTGGTCATGCTTGAAAAAGCCAAAGCCAACATGCCAGCCAAGCCAGCTCCTCCTGCTAAAGCATCTTCCAGAGTTCTAGGGGGAACAGCTCCAGCCAAATTCCAACCTGCATCAGGTACCTTCTCTTTTACATTCTGAGGAATGACTGAGAAAAGAATTGCGTGTTTTTTTGAAGCTTTTAGACATGCCAGAGGAAGAACCATACTTGGCAGGAGGAGAGGAATTCAATATAGCTAGGGTTACAAACAGCTGTGTAAGGTAGTGAGTTCTGGTCTTATATGCAGTTGAGTCAACTTCCAGTGTTGGAGGGTTTCTCTTTTCCACACAACCATCTGTCAGCACTTTGAAAATACCTACTTAGTATTGAAGCTATAACCCATGGACTAGAGGGGTGGGTTTTTTGATAATACTAACCTGATTTTATCATACGTGGGCTTCTGTCTGGACTATTTCCTTAGTATTGTTTACTGTGGGGCTACCAGAATGCTTGTGCTGACGCAAAAAAGGGCACAAGTGATGTGAAGAAACAGTCCTGCTTTATCTCTCTGCTGGGCTAGCTGGCGTGCTCAGAGAGGGTGCAACTACAGCTCCAGACATTAGCCTGCCCAGTATGTGCACGTGTGCATTTATAATGACTAATTTGCTAACATATTATGATCTTAATTATGAAAACTTTTTAGAAACTTTTTAGAAATTCAGGTACTTCTCTGGGTCTAAAATCCTCAGACCCCTGTGTGGTAAGCATATTGTATCCATGAAGGATTTTTCTTTTGTCCTAAGAGTGGAAAAGCATGTTGACCTAAAATGGACTTGTTGGTAATTTGATATGGTGTGTTGTTTCTCCAGCTCTTGCTGAGGATTCCAATACCATGGAATCCAAGCCGGATCCCAAAAAAGCCAAAGCAGGAGCAGCCTCCTCTAAAGCTAAGGTATGTTGAGAGCATTTTGTATAAAATTAGTTCTGTGAAGTTAGTAGCTGTGGTTCATTGATGTAGTGAGTAGAAGAGTATAACCTTTGCTAGGGACTGCTTTTACTGAGAATCTCTATGTTTGTCTTGAGTTCTGAAATGACAGAGCATCACTTGATTTACGTGCTTTTATCATTACCTATTCAGTTCTTAGTCTATGTTGTCAAAAATGCTATCATGTTAGCATCTCAGTCTAAGTCTGCTTGGCCTCCTTGGTTTTGCACCATGGTGATTTCATTCTTACCATTGAAGTTTCAATGTTATACTTCAAACAGTCCAGTTTGAACCTGTGTATCAAAATACATTTATCTCTCCTTTACACTATGAAGGGTAAAATGTTCTCAGTCGTAAGTGCAAAAAGGGAAGGAAGATGCTTAAATGCATAATAATCTAAACTGATTACTGGTTAGGTTTCTGGGGTTTTTTACAGTAATTTTTTGCTATTAACTTTGAAGTTTGTCCTAGATGTATAACTTGGAAAAAAAGTTTGTTCTACAGTCCCATTGCCTCCCTTGTCTAATGCTGTAATGAGAATATTTGATGTAGGTCCAGACTCATGGCAGGAATGAACAGAACAAACCTTGAAGGATGTTGCAGACTTGCCTAAGTCAGTTTATTCTTCTGTCAAAACTGATACTGGCATTAATGCCTTTGCTGTGAACACATTAAAAGGTTTGGAGTGATAATTCTGATGAGTAAATAGTTATCTAACAACAAAGCCTTCTCTGTGGCTTATTTACAGCAGTCAGATGTTAATAGCAGTATGTCCAAGGGCAATACCAGCCTGTCTAAAGCTAATACAAGCCTCAGCAAAGGCAGCACCAGTCTGACAAAGAGCAAATCTATCAAACAGGTACCACACTGGGTTTTAGGAATGTGCGTGGGTGACTGGCGCACCGGTTGAGAGTGATGTGTAATATTTCACAGGGTACTGCTGTGCACACGGCCATGGGTATTGCTTCCACAGCAGCAGAGCACACACTTTCAAAATTCTAATCAACATTATTCTTCCAGCTTCTCTCTGGCTCTTGTACACGTAGGCAGCATGAGGTTGGCTGTTATCTAATGCTTGCAATTACTGGGATTCAGGCATATATATGTCTTGTGTTTCCTGTTAATATCTTGCTTTCTTCAGGGTGTACAGGGGAAGAAAGTGCTAAGCAAGCCTAATTTAAAGGAAGACGATGATAAATCAGGTCCTATTTTTATCATAGTCCCAAATGGGAAAGAACAGAGGATGAAAGATGAGAAAGGACTGAAGGTGAGAAAAATCTGAGTATATTCACAAGTTTTGAAGGAGTATAATTTTAACATGTTCTTTTGCGGTTTAATTTAGAATGAAACATGCTATGGCATGAAAGTGCTAGTCTCTGTCCATCCCTTGGATCGATTATCTGGTTCATCAGTTGACTTTCAAAGAGCAGTATCTGTTTTACTGTGGTGTTTCTCTTGTAATTTTCAAATTTTGTGCATTTATTCATGCTTACAAAAGCCACAGGCCTCTTTGTAACTTCCAAGAGATGATCTTCAGTTGTGAAGCATCACCAAGCTTTTACCTGAAAACAGTTGACTAATTTCAGAGTTTTAGGATAAATCCTTTAATACACTTATTTGGAACAACACTGCTTGTCAAGCTTGTCTTTTGCAGGGAAATTCTGTTGCTTAAAGCATACACATTATTTGTAACTTGCTCATAAACAAGCCTATATATAGCTTAAAACCAACCACTTTAAGTTATAATAATTAATATAATAGCCTAAAGATAACCATTGCAGATAGAGAAAATATGTCATTTAAGCCAAGGCGAGCAAACACCACTAAATTTTTCCCATTACTTCTTGATAATGAGACAACTTTGAAAAGAGGTTTCAAAGCAGAATTAAAAGAGGTGGAATTTCCAGATTCTTTCAGGAAGAAAAGGTATTGCTTGCTTTGATTTCCAAATACTGCCTTTTACAGGTGTTGAAGTGGAATTTCACTACACCCCGTGATGAATATATTGAGCAGCTAAAAACTCAGATGTCCAGTTGTGTGGCCAAGTGGCTACAGGATGAGATGTTTCATGCAGACTTTCAGCACCACAACAAAGCACTGGCTGTTATGATTGAGGTGAGTTTGGTTCTGTGGTACTAGATGAAGCTGTGTGGAATTATTCTTTGTTGTGAAAGATTCTGCTGGATTTAAAATCAAATAGGAGTTCTCTGAGGAGCCAGTGGTCATTGTTCTGTGAAGCTGGAACCTTAACATATATAGAAATAATTTTCAGAGGAGTGATGAAGTTGATATTAATACTGTTTCTTGGGAGAAAATGAAAGTTTCATCACTTAAGACTTTTCTTAGGATTTCAAAAAGCTGTGCAAGCTAAAAGTGAATACATCATGATTCTAGTAATCAACCAATAAGTAGAGGCTGCCATATCATGCACAGCTTTTCCTTATTTTCTGATTCTTTCCTGAATAATGTGTTTCATATTGCACAAATTTTTTTTCTTATTTTTCCTTCAAGCACTTGGAGAGTGAAAAAGATGGAGTCATCAGCTGCCTGGATCTGGTTTTAAAATGGCTTACCCTGCGGTTCTTTGATACCAACACAAGTGTTTTGATGAAAGCACTTGAATACCTTAAATTGCTTTTCAATTTGCTGAGTCAAGAAGAGTATCACCTTACTGAAAATGAAGCATCCTCTTTCATCCCATATCTTATTCTAAAGGTACAGTTCATTTTGCAGAAACTAACCTTATTCTTCTTGAGGAATATACCATAATACCATCAAACTGTAATATGTTTGTTCTAAATATATTGCAAATGGCATTATATCCAGTTGGCGGCTGGCCACGAGCAGTGTTCCCCAGGGCTCAGTACTGGGGACAGTTCTGTTGAATATCATTATCAGTGATCTGGATGAGGGCATCGTGCACCTTCAGTGAGCTTGCAGATGGCATGAAGCTGGTGCAATGTTGACCTGCTTGAGGGTAGAAAGGTTCTACAGGGGGACCTAGACAGGCTGGATCAATGGGATGAGGCCAATTGTATGAGGATCACCAAGGCCAAGTGCTGGGTCCTGCCCCAGCTCACAACAATGCCCCGCAACGCTACAGGCTTGGGGATGGGTTTCAAGAAAGCTGCCTGGTAGAAAGGAGCTGGCGGTATTGGTTGACAGCTGGCTGAAGGTGAGCCAGCAGTGTGCCCAGGTGGCCAAAGCAGCCAACAGCATCCTGGCCTGTATCAGGAATAGTGTGGCCAGCAGGACCAGGGCACTGGTGAGGCCGCACCTCAAAATCTGTGTTCAGTTTTGGACCCCTCACAAGAAGAAATGCAGAGAGGTGCTGGAGTGTGTCCAGAGAAGGGCAACAAAGTTGGTGAAGGGTCTAGAGCACGTGCCTTACAAAGAGCGGCTGAGGGAACTGGGATTGTTTAGCCTGGAGACAAGGAGGCTGAGGGGAGATGTTGTTGCTCTCTACAACTACCTGAAAGGAGGTTGTAGCAAGGTGGTTGTTGGTCTCTTCTCTCAAGTTACAAGTGAACAGGATGAGAGTAAACAGCCTCAAATTGTACCATTTCTTCACTGAAAGGGCTATCAAGCATTGAAACAGGCTGCCCAGGGAAGTGGTTGAGTCACCATTCCTGGAGGTGTTTAGAAGATGGTACTTGGGGACATGGAATAGTGGTGGACTTGGCAGTACTAGATTGACAGCTGGTGATCTTAAAGGTCTTTTCCAACCTAAATGATTCTGTGATTCTCTGTTGAGTATTTGCCCTTAAAAGCCATTTGCCAGAAAGGATTTTTGCATTGAGAATAATTCTGGGTTTCGTAACACTTAGTCTAATCAACAATATCGTGAGACTTTTTAAAGCATTCTGTATTTTTTCCCATCTTTCTTTTGACTTTCCTGCTAGGTAGGAGAACCGAAAGATGTCATCCGCAAGGATGTGCGTGCCATTCTGAATAGGATGTGTCTCATCTATCCAGCCAGCAAGATGTTCACTTTCATCATGGAGGGGACAAAATCCAAAAACTCCAAACAGCGTGCAGGTGGGAAATGGCATGTTGAACTGAGCAATTGCGAAGTACTTGGAATTGCTTTGTTTTGCATCTTGAGAAACCAAGCATTGAAATGTGAGATGTGCCCATGTATAGCGTTCTATGCAAATGCTTGTAAGTGTTTATTTTTGGTGTCTTCATGCCTTCTGAAGATGAGCAATCGTAGGCTTGTTGTCATAGTGAAATAGTATGGGGGAGAACAGTGACAATACTATTGTCCAAGTGACTAAAGGAGTCAGTCGGATGAAAACTTCGGAAAGAAATGTCTCTACACGCTGTACATGTGTCTCAGCTTTATAGTAGAAATTATTTTTGGTATGGTGTGTATGTTTGGAACAACTCCCCGGTCACCTTGCAAATAATCTTATCCCGATATAACCAGAAAGTTAAATTATATACATAGTGCAGCATTGCAAGCTAATAACTGTGTAAGCAACTTAGATGTGAAATTAACTGTGACATTCCTCATAGATAGTAATGGGAAATATTTGAAGGGTGTAGGGATGATTGACAGCTTTTAGATTCTCTCTGTGTGAAGTAGTCTGAACCTTTGGTTTACTATTCATCCCATAAGTCACCTGGAGTATATCTCTCATCAGCATTGTGATTGATGTTTCTCTGTGTTCAAGTTGTGTAACACAGGAGTTGGGAGGGGTTTCTTCCCAGCAGCTTTAAACTCGAATGTGCACGTGTTTGTTTTCTTCCTTTAGAATGCCTGGAAGAGCTTGGATGTCTGGTTGAATCGTATGGCATGAATGTATGCCAGCCAACTCCAGGGAAAGCCTTAAAAGAAATGGCAACTCATATCGGTGACAGGGACAACACTGTGCGCAACGCTGCGCTGAACACCATTGTGACTGTCTATAATGTCCATGGTGATCAAGTGTTCAAGCTGATTGGAAACGTGAGTGTAACTGGAAATAAGACTTTTAAATTATTTTTTTTTTATTTACTTCTTACCCTTTTGTAGGAGATAAGCACTGTTTTGCTTGTGGTTGGTCACAGTACATGTTGCTTTCGGTGTCGGGAGAGTTTTGTAGTGTGGAAAATAACTTGCTACACCATAGATCCTCTAATGATTATCTGGTTAATTCCAGATTGTGGAATACATAACCTGAGCGTCCATGAATGAAAAACATTACTGGAAGAAATGAGAAAAAACCACTGATTGCTCTGGGAATTAATTTGTTTATAAACATTAACTTGCTTTATAGTCAACTGTGTAGGTAACTCTTGTGATTTTAGAGTGGTGTTTGGATAACTTATTTGGCCATGAAAGACAAGTTGTTGGGGCTCCATCAAGTACTCTTGGTGCTGCTTTTTTTTCTTGGTTTCTTTCTTTTTTTTTTGGTGCCTGCTTTGCAGTTGAAGTCTGGCAAGTTTGGTTTGTTTGCTTTATCTTATTGCACTCCATTGCTGAAAGTCTATGTCAGTACTGTCTTGTTTTGTATTGCTCCTGATTTGTTCTCTGGAAATCATACTTAGCCATGTCATCTAAAACACAGTAAAAGTTAAAGGTGGCAAAACTTAGTTTGCAGTCTCCAGCAGAGGGAATGTAGTTCACTGTGTTGTCTACAACTAATGTGTGTAATGGATTAAGTATGCTGAATTCTAACCTGAATTGAGAGCTGTTAGACCTTTTTTTTTCCTGTTCTGTTCTCTGAATTTGTGGTCTTGGTAACATTTTTAGCAGCGCTTAAACTGATTGGAATGCAATAGATATATTAATGCCTGCAAGAAGTTTTTGTTATATGCCATAGTGCCTATATAAGCTTCTGGATGGATATTATGGCTGATTTGTGGAGTATGATAAGTAGGGAAGCAAGGCTACGTCTTCTTTTGGTTTCTATTTTTTTCTTTCTAGCTACCTGAAATGTTGAAATTTAGTATGACTTTTATTTTCTTATGGTAACCATCTCTGTGAGAATTAATGTTGCATCTTCATTAACATTTTAGATTCCAGTCTTAACTGTTGTTCAGAGTGCAGTCTGCCTCTTCCTCGGTGTTGCAGAGTCCATTTGCTTTTGTATTTTCAAGAACAGAACTGTAGCACCAGAAGCATTTAATCCCTTTGAATCATGACTTTCTCAGCTTCTCTATGATCCATCTAGTCCCAAAATGTATGGCTTTTCAGGAAGGTTTCCAAATCATAGGGATGCTGGAGAGTGCTTCCCACAAAATTGTCACAGCTACTTTTGTTCAAAGGTAGCTACTGGAAACCTTTGGTCCCTGTAGGTAAGCAGATAAATATGATTCTTTCCACTACATGAGTTAGAGCGTTCAGTTGTGTTCAGGTTGAACTGTGAGGATATTGAATGGTTCAGCTTAACTGCTGGAAGGACTCTGGCTTCTGTGGCAGGGTCTGTGGTGTTAAATCATTGCCCGAGCGCCTAATAGGGGATGTAGATAGGTACATGGGGTTTTTTGTTTTGGTTAGGGTGCTGGAAGGACTCTGGCTTCTGTGGCAGGGTCCGTGGTGTTAAATCGTTGCCCAAGCGCCTAATAGGGGATGTAGAAAGGTGCATGGGGGTTTTTTTGTTTTGGTTAGCGGTTTTTTGCAGCAACACAAGCAACAATTAAAAACACATGATAGTAGCATAATTTGAATTCAAGTTTCCTTGTTTCTTGGAGATTATGTAGGCTAGGAATATCTGTGTTCCATATTACAGCTCGTCAGTATGACTTAATTAGCTCCTGAAGTAGCATCTGGCAGTCCAGAGGGGGCCCTATTTGCTACTGGATGGTAGAACTGACAATTGCTACCTCTGGTATTAGCTAACTCCAGTCTGCAGTAGTAAGTGGTATAACTCTTGGAGGTGACCAAGATTTCTAAAATCTGTACAGCTCAAATTGAGTCAAAGTGTCGTGTGTTACAGCTTTCTGAGAAAGACATGAGCATGCTGGAGGAGAGAATAAAACGGTCAGCCAAGAGACCATCTGCTGCTCCAGTGAGACAGGCAGAGGAGAAACCTCAGCGGACTCAAAACATCAGCGCTAATGCTGGCATGCTGCGGAAGGGACCAGCTGAGGATATGTCCTCCAAACTCAAGTGTGTAATGTTATGGTTTATAGACTGCAAAGTGTCTGTGCTATTATCATGTCTGGCGTTGTTATTTTTTTTAGTTCCTGTATCATCATCTTTGCATGTTGTGAAAATTGGCCAGATAATACAGTGCAAAAATGTGTGAAACTTTTTTTTGTCTTGTCTGTCTTGAAATCTTTCTAAATGGTCTTGTGCCTTTTTTCACTGCTTCTCCATGGACAGAATTATGTATCGCACTTATAGGATGTAAGTACTGCCCACTAACTCCTTGGTAGCAAGGCTCTTGTGCCTTTCAATTTCTATCCTGGTCATCACTTCCGCAGGGTGACAGGTTTTACCATGGCCAGTTCTAGGTCTCTGACTTAAATAAAAGAAAGAGGCAAAAAATAAGGGTTTCTGCCACGGTGGCTGTGGTTCAGACTGCAGGCAAATGTGGCATTTCCACATTAAGGAGCTGTTAGAAATATTGGCAGAACTTCCTATGTGTTACATTAAATTTGGTGTTGATTGGACTCGGTTCTCACTTTATTAGGGCAGATGTACAGCACTGAACTGGATGGGCATGTGTGAATAATAGAGCCTGGGGCAACACTAGCAGGAAAAAAAAGCTCAACAACTATTCTTTGCCACCTGCTCATTACCTTGGAATAAAACTCTCAGTTGAGATCTGTGTGTAAGAACACTTCCTTGAAAAAGCAAATACATAGCACAAGTCATCAGGGGTGCTGGGAATCATAGGTTCAAAAAAAAAAAAATAAAAGCAAAAAGCTGTTCATTAACTCTAGTGCTGTGTTCCATTAAATACTGCTTTAAACTGTGCTAGGTATCTCTCAAAACCAAGCGAAGCATACCTGTCACAGATGCAGGGGGTCTGTGGTGGGTTATAAGAGAAACTAGGAAGGCAAGTAATTAGCAGCTGGCCTACAAAACCTTGTTTTACTAATGGCTAGGGGAGAGGCAAAAGTGGTTATTAGGGGGCTTGAATAACATCAGAACTTCAAAATCTGTGCTCTTATGAGAGCTTTAGGGCTACCAGTGGATGCTAGTGCTAGTGCTTTCCTCTTGTGTATGCATAATAAACTGCTCTCTCCTGGTTTCTGTAGCCAAAATCGCAACATGGGTAGTCACTCTGAGACAGCGCATACAGTCCCGCGGGAATTTCAGCTGGATCTGGATGAAATCGAAAATGACAACGGTACTGTGAGATGTGAGATGCCAGCACTCGTACAGCACAAACTAGATGACATCTTTGAGCCAGTCTTGATTCCTGAGCCCAAGTGAGTCTCATTTTAAATCCTAAGTGAAACCAGTAGGGCTACTTAAAAACCCGTTTGAGAAGCTGAATTGATAATTTCTACATTAAGACTTGTTTATGCAAGAAAGTAATGCCAGCTAATGGGAAGAGATGCAAGAGCAGTGGTGTTCTGTACTGTTCTGGAATCTGGAGAGAAGTTACTTCTAATGAAAAAAATGAGTTCTGCTGATGTGTTTTTATAGAAAAAGGGTTATGAGTTTGTAATTACATCATTAGTGTCTTCACAAGTAGTGCAATAGACACGTTAAAAGGAATGCTTACTTCCTTGAGTATCCTCTGTGAAGACTAAAGTCCTTTTTCTTTGCAAACTGTTATTGAAATATAGCGATTCAGTGTAAATCAAAGCTATCTCTCCAGAGAGTTCTGGTTTTGAATTCTGGTTTTGAATTAATTCTGGGAATTAATTCTGGTTTTGAATTAATTCTGGTTTTGAATTCTGGTTTTGTTTTTTTCCAACTGTTTAGAATCCGTGCTGTGTCCCCACACTTTGATGACATGCACAGTAACACAGCTTCTACTATCAACTTTGTCATTTCCCAAGTAGCCAGTGGTGACATCAATACGAGCATCCAGGCTCTGGCACAGGTGAGCGAATTAGGGTGGCACTGACACAGGTGAGCAAATTAGGGTGGCACCCAACCACACTGTGTTTGCCTGCGAGGGTGATGAGTTGCACTGTGGCGGAGCAGTCATGTCGGGTGACATGGGCTCTGCTCAGAATCTCCCTGATGACAAAACAAAGTGCACAGGGGCCATCTGACTCGCTTCAGCAATAGAAATTCTGCGTGGATGATGTGGAATAGACTCTTAACACAGAAACAGTATAAAAGAAAAAAAAAGCTTCTCTGTTTGGCAAGTATCTGTGCTATGAATTTGGAAAGGCCAGTTAAGACAGTGAGACTTAACTTTTAAATGGAAACTGGTTTACGGATTCTCAGCAAAATAATTGTCTTCCCTCATAGGTTTTACGTATTTCTAGTGTGACTTTAACTATTTAGAAGTATTTAATCCAAAAGATTTCATAAAGCTGTTAATTGCAGACTCCATTATGCAGTGTTTCATGTTTTCATTTGTTTAGGATTGCAATTGAAAGGTCAATAGTTGTATTGGATTGCATTGAGACCAGCAATAGAAACCTGTGGCTACTGCTCTCAGGTGAAAGCTCAGAATTTGCCAAGTGCCTTGGCAAGTGTATTGGTCAGGGCCAGATCTCTTTCTAGAAAGATTTTGAAATACAATTCATTTGCACTGTTTGTATTATGTTGACTTTACTTGGGTGTTTTGTTTTTAAATCTTAGATTGATGAGGTTCTCAGACAGGAGGACAAAGCAGAAGCTATGTCTGGCCACATCGACCAATTCCTAATAGCTACGTTTATGCAGCTTCGGCTCATCTACAATACACACATGGCAGATGAGAAGCTAGACAAAGATGACATAGTGAAACTTTACAGCTGTATTATTGGGAGCATGATCTCGGTAAGGCTTTGCCCTAAAAGTTAAGGGGAAAAGAGGGAATAATTTCTGTGCAGAAGTCACAGGAGAGTGGAATGTCTGTCTTGTACCTAGCTTGGCTTACTATCAAATCTCATTTATAGGTTTTTTTTCTGATTATCCTCTCACTAATGTACCTTTTAGAGGGAATGGGGAATGATAAATTGGGGAAGGGAAGAGGGTCTGTTTGTTACTTCTGCAGTATGCAGCCATTCTAACCCTTTATTGAGCTCTGTTTTATTATTCCTTACCTTTTGAGTGCTGAGTTGGTGGCCTAAGTGTTTTCAGAAGTCACTCAGTAGAAAAAACTTTCTTGCTAGTTGCATTTTTCTTGTCTAATGTTTCAAGGCACAGGGGGATGTTAAGTGGTTTGACAGTGTAGTGAGAGTAAAGAAATTCCTGTATTAAAGCATTGCATGCAGGGAAAACTTCTAACATTGTCTTTGATTCGTAGCTGTTTCAGATAGAGAGTCTGGCTCGAGAGGCCTCCACTGGTGTTCTGAAGGACCTAATGCATGGTCTTATTACATTAATGCTGGATTCTCGGGTTGAAGACCTGGAGGAGGGTGAGCAGGTCATCCGATCAGTCAACCTTTTGGTAGTGAAAGTTCTGGAGAAGTCTGACCAGACCAACATCTTGAGGTATGTAGTGAAAATTGCACAATTACTGCTTCTCTTCACCCATTCTTGTGTGTTACTTGAAGGGTGACCGAGTTTGTTAGTGATTCTATAAGCAAAGAATTACGTCTGTAGCTAATAAAGGTCATCAGAGTGATCAAAACTTGACTGCACAAGTTAAATGAAGCAGCTTAGTATGATTCTGTATGCTCTGTAATTAAGCATTAGCAGCTCTTAAACTCTTGTAACATACTAGAAAAAAAGAAATAACCGTTATACGTGACATGAGCTACTGGACTAAATGCAATTTTATGATGTGATGTTTTGTGGGGCGTTGGCATCTTTTTTGTGTCTGTAGCACTTTTCATGTGTAACTGTTACAAATTTATTCCTTTTAGTGCTCTGCTTGTTTTGCTCCAAGACAGTCTGCTAGCAACAGCCAGCTCTCCTAAGTTTTCAGAACTTGTCATGAAGGTGAGCCTGTAGTAGTGGTTTCGAACTTAATTGGTTTACGTGAATAGACTTAACTGAACAAAAAAAAAATAGTCTTTGGGGTTTTTTTAAATTGGTGACTGTAACTTGAAATATTTCTTATAACTATAATCTTCTAATTACATCTTACATACAATGACTTCATATATTCCAGGAGGGAGCTTAACACCTGCTAGTAGTTTATAGAAGCTTGCTTACGCTAATACGAACTCCATACAGAGGTGTGCAATCAACTGCTGACTTTTTTTGCTTGGACACAGCACTGTACTGTGGATTCAGACAGTCCTAGGCTGGAGCTGGCTTGTATTTTCATTTCTAAGAAAGTGAACACGCAAATGTCTGCGTGTAAAGCCTGAGTGTGATCTTTTTTTATAACACAACACCCTTTTGTAACTGGCATGATTTAAAGACAACTTAGGTGTTCTAAATGAGGTTAAACCTAAAGAACTTATGCTGTATGAGGGTGTACATAGCATATATATATATATATATTATCTGCTGAAATTTCTTCACATCAAGCATTCAATCTCCTGTTATTGGTAGAGAAGTCAGCGCTACTTTTGTGCATCAGCTCTAAAGAAGAATCTGGATGCGACGCGGCTTGTTATAAAGAGAAAGTATGGACCAAAACAAAGATAGCTTGAGCAGACAGATACGATGTGTGTCTGTATGTGGCAACAGAGCAAAGTGGCTCAATAATAGTTTTGTGTAATCTCTCCTCGTGTAATTAAATGCTGCTTCCTTGAGTTGTATTGCTTTAAGTCAGCCTCTCATTCCAGTGTCTGTGGAGAATGGTGCGCCTCCTTCCGGAAACCATTAATAGCATTAATCTGGATCGGATTCTACTGGATATCCACATTTTCATGAAGGTCTTTCCCAAAGAGAAGCTGAAACAATGTAAGAGTGAGTTTCCTATAAGGACACTGAAGACTCTGCTTCACACCCTGTGCAAGCTGAAAGGGCCCAAGGTCAGAGCAGTCACTAGTTAAGCACTTTTAAAGCTGCTTTTTTTTTTCGTTTTTCTTTTTTTTTTTTTAATCTCTTTTTTGTCCTTTTAGATCTTAGATCATTTAACAATGATAGACAACAAAAACGAGTCTGAGCTGGAGGCTCACCTGTGTAGAGTAGTGAAGCACTCTATGGACCAGACTGGAAGCAAAACGGATAAGGATACAGAAAAAGGGGCTTCTCGCATAGTAAGTAATGTAAATATGTTGGTAGGAAGAGGGAATGTAAGACAATTTAAGAAACAAACTTAACTTTGTGATTGTGGAATGGGACGTAGCAGTTGCCTTTCCAACTTGCAACTAAGGTTAGAAATGCTCTTCTAGTTTTGCTTTTTTTTATGACTGTTCTGGAAACTTGCAGTGTGTTTCTGTTATGACCTGAATATTCCGTGTATATCCCAGGGTGCAGTGCTCTCCAGGATATTCAGGTGTGCTTAATAGGTTTTATACTGCCCAATACTGCATTTGATTTACTAACAGTTAACCAGAAGTTTTAAACTGGCTTCTCAAGAGTCCTACAGCTTGATGATGTCTCATTCTGGGTAAACAGTGGCTATGTAAACCTTGAAGCGAGTAGGTTTTTCTTCATTTTGGAAGCTCTGTATCCAGCTAGCAGCTCTGAGGGCACTACTGGTTCATCTACCTTCCCTCACTTTTATTCACTTTGTTTCAGAAGTCTCCTATTTATTTATTTGTTTAGGAGGAAAAGGCTTCAAAGGCCAAAGTTAATGATATTTTGGCAGAAATATTTAAGAAGATTGGCTCCAAGGAGAACACTAAGGAGGTAAGAGCTCCCTTCCTACAAAACAGAGGGTACTGGAATGGTGTATGCAGCAGTTGTAGTAATGCACAGGAACTCTTCCCTCTCAGGGTCTGGCAGAGCTGTATGAATACAAAAAAAAATACTCTGATGCAGACATTGAGCCCTTCCTGAAAAACTCCTCTCAGTTCTTCCAGAGCTATGTGGAAAGAGGCCTCCGGCTGATAGAAACAGAACGGGAGGGGAAAGGACGCATTGCTGCTTCTACAGGTATGTATTAGAGCAAAAATTATTGATTTATGAGAAGCGGAGATGTCAGAAAAGCGAACCTTTCTACATGCCTTCCAGAAATCTCTATTTCAGATTGAATTAGAAGCAGCAGCTTGAAGTTACTTAAATGAGAGGTAAAGAGGGGTTGGAATTAGTGGCGAGATGTCTCCCCAGAACTACAACTAAACTTAGAAGAGGATAGAAGACTCCAGATATTTCTAATCCTGCCAGTGCTGAGTTCTTTCTGTTGGATGTCATGGTTACTGCTGATTCACATCAGCATCTTCCTTTCACCCCACTGTTGTCTTCAGCCTCAGCACTACTTCTGGAGCTGCTCTGCTGTCACTTCTTAAATGTCTTAATTTCTTTTCTTGGTTTTCAGTTGTCACTCTTGCAAGGAAATGAAAGGGCTGAAACACCTGTACTGAAAAAAGCAAATAGCTTGGTAGATTGTAGGTTGCTTGATTTTTCATCCCTCGCATCTTCTTTCAAGGAACTGATCAAGAGGCTTACACTTCTCGATGTTTTTAATCTCTCTTTTTTTGTTTTTTTTCCTCCTCCCCACCTCCAGGAATTTCTCCTCAGATGGAAGGAACGTGTGTTCCTGCTTCTACCCACACTATATCTTCATCTATAGGAAACACAAATGGGGAGGAAGTGGGCCCTTCAGTTTACTTGGAAAGATTAAAAATCCTCAGGCAGCGTTGTGGCCTTGACAACGCAAAGGTATTGTATTTGACAACACTTGTAAATCCTGAGCGGAGGCACTTTATTTGCGTGGGTTTTTAAGAATGCAGATGATTTTTTTTTTTTCTGTACAAGAGGCAGATTCCAATTAGAATTGATGATCTTTTGTTACACTGCATGTCCTAGCTGTTCGCTGCATGTCACCATGCCTAGTATTAAATGGCTTTAAACTCATCATTTGGCCAAGTACACTTACGTTTCAGTCCACTCTGCAGCGCTGGTGTACATGCAGGTTGTTTAGACAGCCTGTAATTTGGTATCTTCCCTTGCCACAGTTGATTCTTAGAAAGGTTCAAATAACTACTGTTCTTGAAAGATTAACATATATTGACCTCTGAACAGAATGATGTGAAAACTCTAGATCCTTCTGCTCTGAACCAACCATAAGAACTGAATGAAGGGTTTTTATTAAGTTCTATATATTTGGAGTATATGGATACTGGGGCACAGAAATGCTGAATGAGCATAGTATGGGAAACCTGTTGGCCAAATTTTCTAGCAGTTTGGTAATCTCTGTGTTCAGAATCTAGTGCCAGTTACTGAAGTTTGTGTTCAGCCACATGAGAAGAGATGTTGGCTCTAGGAATAGTCATTCAGGCACGTCACTTCTAATCTTAAACACAAACTTATATATCGGCTCACAGCTCTGTGGAGGAGAAATACTTCCTATATGATAATAACAAGGTGAAAGTATCGATTGGTAGAATAGTGAATTAATGTTTTAAGTCTTTGGCGGGGTGGATCTTGCCAATCATTCCAAGTTTCCTCTTCTCATTCACCCACAAAGCTTGTTGGCTGTTGATGCTGAACATAGGCATGGACTCTTGTGGTATTAGAATTCAGGCTGTTCCAGCCTGCAGCTGGCCATCTCAGTAAAACACTGATCTGCCATGGTGTTTCGATCTTTAAAGATTCTATTTCCCTTGTGCCCCTACTGACATTAAGCTAAACGTGAACTACTTAAATGATAGGAGTTGAGTGCTGTAGTCAGCTTTACATGGTTCTGACTTTAGCAGCTGACTATATTGCTCCAGATCGTCTGTGTTGTATTGCCTCTTCCTTTCCCTGTTTTTAGTGTTTCCTGTGAAGATAAACTGTTAATTATACTTTGTACTTCTGTGGCTTTTGCTACTATCTGTGACTTTCTCCTCCCCTAGCAGGAAGACAGACCACCTCTGACATCTCTGCTTTCTAAACCAGCACTCCCTACAGTTGCATCCTCTACAGATATGCTTCACAGTAAGCTCTCCCAGCTCCGTGAGTCACGGGAGCAGTACCAACATCTGGACCTGGACTCCAATCAGACTCATTCCTCTGGCATTGGAACTACCCTGGCTTCACCCTCTTCTGCAGCAGCTAATATCGATGACTTGAAAAAAAGATTGGAGAGAATAAAAAGCAGTCGCAAGTAGAGATGCAAAAGAGACAGCATTGCTGTTCCTTGGGCTGTCTTCAGCTTTAGTTTACTAAACTAGAAGTCTTCATAGTAAAATGGCCTCGTTCAGGCCTAATGTATACAAACTGGTTTATGTATAATACAGTGGATTTTGGGAGGTCGAGTCATTGTGCACAAGTATTTGTACATAATCTGCTTCTTGGTGAGCATCTCTGACAATAGAAGGCTGTCTGTGTATTAGTTTAGTGTACAGACCTGTCAACAACCATCCTCTTGCTCAGACTAGTTTCTCATAACTTGTTTGGTTTTTTTATTTGTAAAATTGTCTTTAAGATCTTTTCCTAGTTCTTAACTCTTAGAAGAACTTTAGTGATTTCGCTTTTAATTTTGTGAATTCTTCTCCATGTAATCCTTGAACTGTTGATTCTGTATGGACACATGGCATGAAGTAACTAATTTAAGTGTCTTTTGTAAATAAAGTTTGCATTAACTATACCAGCCTCTGTAGGAACAGCAGTGACACTGCTGGTTAGAGAAGTCACTTTCTATTCCTGAATGTTAGTGACTGGGCATCTAGAAACTGAACTAAGCTATTCTTGACATGAGCATTGGGGTTTGGATATATTGTAAGAAAGATGAGTGAATATATATTGTCTGTGGGTGCAATCCTGAGACTTTGCACTCTTAGATCTTTAAGCGGTAGTGCATTTTTCATATAGTTGCTTTTTTTGTTTTGGAATATGCTTCTGTATCTTGAGTAAGTTGAGCATATTTAGTTTGCTGAAATGCTTATTTTAAATTACCTGGTCCTTGTGATGCCTTTACCCAGATTATGCATAGTCCCATCTGTGTACAAATGCTTTCTTGCATTTGAGGGAGCCTGCTGCTTTTGATACGGAATAGATCGGCAGTGATGTACAGTCAGTGGACTCATTTATCCTGAACTCCCTTGGTTAAGCGCTCTTCCTTGTGCAGGTAGACCTCACCACCACGTTCTTGTTGCCCTTAAACATCAGAAGTCAGCAAACTCTACTGTTTTGTATGACTAAGACACCTGGTAGTGCTAGTCTGCGAAAGCTGTAGCCACTGCTTGGTTTGTTGGGTTTTTTTAAGAGTGTCTTCTGATTTAGCCTTTTTCAGAAGCTTTGAGTATGAAGGTTAAACGTAACACTGTGTAGCCTTTCTGGCCCTGTTATCTCTAGCGAGGTGGTGTGTCTTCACCTTACTCCTGCACTTTCATGTGAGAGCTGGTTGTGAAGCATAAATTGCACATCTGTTCCGTAGCTGGAACAGAGTTATTGAGGAGTTGGTCAGGCAGGCTTTAAATAGCACACTTCTGCTCTGGATTTTAATCTGTTCCTTGTAATTGCTGCTTCTGTTGTTTGCTCTGTGGACCAGCAGTCTCTGCATTAGGGCCATTACTGAAACTATCTCGCCTGATTGCAGTAAAAATGTGACTTTAAATTAGTACCTGTACAACAGATCTATGCCAGAGCTTCTGCAAAGGGCTGAAATCTTCCTTTTACAGGCCCTCTAGGCTGGGGTTGCAGTTGACATAATACTGCTTGGTGCTTATGGTGAGTTTGTATACTGTGCTAGCAGGCGACTTGCGAGCGTTCTCCATCCTGCGTTAATTGACATGATGCCGTTCCTTGCTCCCCCACCTCGATTTAGTAGTCGCAGTCTCCTCTCCTAACCTGAAGTGAGCATGCACTTCCTTGTGTTACAGAGCTATATGACAAGTGGAGGTTTGGCCCTTGTTGGTGAGTGCTGAAGTTTTGGGTGCTCAAACTGAGGCTGTTTGTGAATAGTTTGTGTTGGCTGGCACTACAGTTACTGCCACTACCTCTCCATTACTAGCTGCTTTTTGAAACTTACTGACATTTAAATCAACCATTTATGTCCCTTTAACATGGCCGGCAGACATTCTGAAGAGCTGTTTGTTAATTAGCTCAGGATGTTAAAACAGCAATGCCTGCAAACCTGCATACAAGAATTTTAAATTTTAAGCTGAATTGGAAGTGAAATACAGGAATAATTGAGTAGCAGAAGATATAGTTACTTACTGTGAATGAGTTTTTGCCCTGTATCTCTGTAGTGTTTGGTTGGACTCAATGTCCTGGGAGTTCTGAACTAAAAGTTGTGCACATAAACTAATAAAGCCTAATCTTTAGCTCAGACAATATTTAAATAACATTAAACTGAATTTTAAAAATTATTCCTCTGTATTGTTTCTAACAAGTTAGTCTTACCAGTGACTTACTCCAGAAACTGGGTAGTCCTGTTTCCCATCTTAGATACGCAGTTTCCGACATTATTAGATAGGAGTGAAGGGGTGAGGCTGAGAATTGCAACATGAGAAGGGCTGAACGTTTTCAGTGTTCTATGCCTGTGGTTATCAAAGACGAAACAGTTGTGGAACTTGAGTTCTTGAGGTTTCTTTCTTCAGATGTCTTTGAGGCAGTCAGGTTGGGCTATCTTCAGATTGGTTTCCAAATGAGACATGACATCAAGGAGGTGGCCAGACAGTAATTGATGAATAACTTTGGTTATGTCCAACTTATTTTGGGTAGCTACTCTACTGTTGCTGTTTTCAAACACAGTCACTCTACTGCTTAATGCTCTGTATGAAGCACAACAAAATTTCACTGTTGCCTGCTTCTGTGATTTCAGGGCACTATGAATGAGAAGTTTAGGAATCTGGTGTCACGAGGAGCAAGGACAGTTTCCAAATATCATGATTGCTTAAAGAAAAAATTGGGCTGCAAGCTGGCTAGTCAAGACTGTGTGTTTACTGCTGGGTCTTGGTGATCTACCAATTGCTGGTAAAGAGAGGTTCATGAGAGAACTGAAGCTATTTTAGGAGTGATCCCAAAACAGGCTTCGTAGGACAACCAAACAGGTGTGGTACGAGATCCTTCCATTGGAGGTAGTTTGCCAGTGCCTGTGCATGAGTTCATTCCTCCTGAATGTCATTATGCAGGTGGAAAATAGACTTTGAGGACCCAGCGCCAGCTGCCATGTAAAAAGTTGCTGCCGTAGAGTAATGGAAGTGCCACTTAATGTTTTCAAGCCTGTATTCCTCTGTAGGACGAATTGTATATGGCTGGGATCTAACTTCTTAGGAAGCTAACCTTACAAACAGTGGTACTGGTATTTGTTGTCCGCTCTTGTAGCTGAGAACAATGTCTGTCTTGTCAAAAGAGATTATAATTGCTTTACTTTTGCTATCAGTGTTTTGTATAATGCCACAGTTACTGTAGGGTAATTATCTCCAGTGCATTGTTGCCTCTATTTCTACAGCAGAAAATGAGTGAGGAAATGAAGAGTGTTTGAGGGCACAATTGTGCTTACCGTGACCAACTTAAGACCATCATCTGAGGTCTAAAATCTGTTGATGATTACACCTGATAGAAGGGAGGAGAAATGGTTTGAAACACAACAGGTAATTAGCAGTACAGCTAATGCCATTCTGTCGGTACTTCTGGCTACTGTGATGGCTTAGATTCAAGTGCAACTAAATGCAGCATGAACAAAAGGAGGAGAGTAGGTTTGAGAACTTTTATTTTCAAGGCAGAATGCTTTCCTTGGTGAGTTGTAAGGATATAACTTTTACTTCAGGATCTTCTGTGCTTACGCTTTTAGGAAATGGAGCATTGTAGCAAAACTTGAGAGCAAGCAAGGTAAATGCTTCCTCTATCTCCCGTGTTTTTCGATGGCTTTTCGTATCCACTTTTTCAGGCGGAATACATGGGTATAAAATCCATATTTGCCGTCTCGGTCACAGCCTTCTCCCCATGAAACTACTCCCACTTGATACCAACGGTTGTCATCTGGATTCTAAAGCAAAGAAAAATGGGATTGGCACAAGGAGCATGAGACTTGGAGATCTGGTCTGCAGGTCTGATTTGGTCCTGGAATACTGCAGGATTCATCTCAGTTGCCCAATTTGGGTTTGAAATGGGTTTCCCTCAGCCCCTCAGCAGTCTCTGTCTTTTCTGGCTTTTTTTAAACTGTTACAAAAGTTCAGTATTAGCACAAACCTAGCTCTGTGTTTTTATGAGCTTGAACTTGTTGAACGTACCTTCATTACAAAAGGTCCCCCACTGTCCCCTTCGCAGGCGTCTCCTCTCTTTAGGTCTTCAGGACTGTAACCTACAGAAGGGAATTGGACATGTAACTGTAGGGAAAGTGGCTGATGTTGGTTATTTTTTTTTTCCTTGGCTTAACTGCATAAATTTTGAGAGCCATGAGATTGTTTACTGCTTCTGCCTGCCATTGGGCTGAAATTTTGAAAACTGCTTTTTTCTGTGTTTTATGCAAACCAGCGTATTCCACCCTCTGTGCTCTCATTTCTGTTTTCTTTCATCAGAATTGCTGTGACAGCTACCACTGTGTTCAACAGCTGTAGCTTGAGCTGCTGTGCCTTTCTCTTAGAAACTTGTGTGTGTGTGATATTCCATGTACCCTGTTCTTTTGTTCTGTTTACTGTGGAGACACCTCCCTGTCCTCACTTCCACCTTCCTGTCATTCTGCAGGGGGCTGCTCTTTTTCTCCCCCAAATGGCTGTTTTGCTGCAGTCTCCCTATGGAGCGGAAAGGGATTTCACTTTAATTCCTGGTGAACTGGACAGTATCTTTGCATTTTCCCATCACTTGTGTCTCCCCTTTCCTGCTGTATGTGTGCACCTCAGCTATTTTTCAGTAATGTTGTCCAGAAAGGAAACTGTAGGAACGCTGTATTGTCAGTATACTCATGAAATCCTAACTCAGGCAATCATATGCATTATTTGATGCAAGCAGCACAAGCTTAGTCAAAAATCCTTGGAGAATTTCTTGTAGGAATTGATGAAGTCTGCACAAATGAAGAATACAGTGGCAAGTATTAAACTGGTACATAAATACATACTCTTTGTATCTTGAATTCTGTGTTCATTTCTTTCTGAAAAAGGGGGTATAGTGCTAGAAGAGATTTAGGAAGGTACAACAAGGATTTTCAGAGGTACAGAATGGCTTCTGTATATTAGGGAGGATGAAATATATGTTTCTCAGCTTGGAAGAGAAATAAGAGCTGTAAAGGATCTATAAAATGCCATATGACACAGAGAAGAAATATTTATTTCTTAAGCTATGGATATAGATGTGTACCTCTTCAGATTTATTAGGAAATTTAACAGAATATGAGGAATTACACTTTTCACACATGCCTAAATAATTTGTGGAGCCTGTTGCCACGAAAGTTGCGGGCGTAAGTATGAATAGGCTCCAAAAGTTTGAGGTAAGCTAGTAGAGAAGGAGTTGTTTGGGGTACTGTGTGGAATAACCGGTGTGCAGCCTTTAATTTAGGAAGTCACTGAACCGTTCCATATACTGGTGAGGAGATAACTGTATTTGTTCAGTTCTCAGCCAGCTGTTGCTGATATCTAGCCAAGTGATGCCGTTAGGCTAGTTAGCTTGACATGGCCTGGTGTTACAAACTTTATTCATTGCTTTAAG